ACACAAAAACACACACCGCCATTCAACTCTTTTACACCATTTTCACAGTGTGTTACAGTTACAGGACTGAAAGAAAGACTGCAGCAACAAGGGCAAAATCGCAAATAGTTCTTAAAGTTACGGTCCGGAGAGACTGTAAATATCAACAGATGTAGTCACACCTATCTCCGCTGTTGAAACCAATGTGCAACCACTGTCGCCTTCTGTGGGCTCTTTCAAAATGGCCGCAGGGCAGGAAAAAGTGAAAGAACAAAATTTGCGCGGCTGTTTGCCGGAACTAGCCCCATTCATTTAACGCGTGCATTGAAAAGTCCACAGCGGCTAAACTAGACCGGTCCAAAAATAAAATCCTCCCTTCAGTATTGGCACACATCTGGAACGCAGCTTTGGACCAAGAGCGACTTTTGGACCATCCTGTAAAGAGGTTTCGCGAGGGAAGAAGACACCATACAAAAGCATTGGGTAATTCTCTTTCCGGGTACACCCCCACCTGCTAGGAGGGAGATTGCAGCATGTCAGCGCACGTGCTCATGGACCTTTTGGAGCCAGGACCCGCCCCCACTGGTCCTGACCCAAACACAATATGCTACTAAATTGTCGGCCTGTAAGATGGTAAGAGTGGCAGAGGCACAGAATCAATTATGCAAGCATTACCAGACTGGATACTTAGCAAAAGGAAGTCTCTCTCTCTCTCTCTCGCTCTCTTTGGTCTCTCTCTTCTCTCTCTTGTCTCTCTCAATGACTTTTTAGTAGTTCCTTATATTCTCTACAAGCACCAGGAAGGGTTGAAGGGTTGTTTTAATGTCCTTTTATAGAATTGAGAGAGAGAGGAGGGAGAGAAGAGAGACCCAAAGAGAGAGACCAGAGAGAGACCGGAATTAGAGAGACCAGAGAGACCAGAGAGATACCAGAGATAGAGAGACCAGAGAGAAAGAGACTAGAGAGAAACCAGAGAGAGACCAAAGAGAAAGAGCAGAGAGAGAGATTAAAGAGGGAGAGACCAGGGAGTGAGAGACCAGAGAGAGATCAAAGAGAGAGAGATCAGAGAGATAGATTAAAGAGAGAGAGAAGCCAGAGAGTGAGAGACCAGAGAGAGACCAAAGAGAGAGACCAGAGAGAGAGATTAAAGAGAGAGAGACCAGGGAGTGAGAGACCAGAGAGAGATCAAAGAGAGAGAGATCAGAGAGATAGATTAAAGAGAGAGAGAAGCCAGAGAGTGAGAGACCAGAGAGAGACCAAAGAGAGAGACCAGAGAGAGAGATTAAAGAGAGAGAGACTAGGGAGTGAGAGACCAGAGAGAGATACCAGAGGAGTTTGTTTTTAATGCCCTGTGTGATGTGAACATTCATGACTTCTGTGATCCTGTGAAGCACTTTGTAAAACCATGTGCCGTAAAAGCGCTCTACAAACACAGGTTGATGGATCGATGGTCAAAAGCGTCTGTATAACGTCTCCTTTAACGCGGTCTGAAAACTGTAACACACGTTTACAAGTTGTCATCTCTCCGCCTCAGACGTTTACCTCGGCGTGTTCTGGTCCAGGACTATTTCCCATTTCCTGCCAGATGTTTAATAAGCACGCATTACGACGGACGTCCATAATTGCTCCATTTATTTTCATTTATTTGAGTCCCGCCGCGAAGGATCCGGGTTTCAGCATTCCGCCCACGTCCACGGCGGCCATTACGGCTCCCGGCTCTAATCAAACGACCTGATTTGAATATGGCAGTGACTGACAGAAGACGCAGACGCAATTACACTGAGGAAATATAAACAGGACCCCGTGGATGTCCGACCATTTGCCTGTCAATAAAGGTGATTACCCCGGACTGGAGTGGCACTGTTTGAAATGGGGTATTGTCATTGACTTGGGTAAATATGTTCCAGGAGAGTTTGAACACGATCAAAATCTCTGGAGATGTATTTCTAAAAGTGGGCGGTTTGTAAAGAGGGAAATGCAAACATACGGATAGTTTTATGTGAGAGACTAGAGAGATACCACAGAGAGAGACCAGAGAGAGAGAGACCAGAGAGAAACCAAAGAGAGAGAGAGACTAAAGAAAGACCAGAGAGAAAGAGACCAGAGAGAGAGAGAGAGACCAGAGAGAGGCCAGAGAGAGACCAGAGAAAGAGAGACACCAGTGAGGAACCAAAGAGAGACCAGAGAAAGACCAGAGAGAGATACCACAGAGAGAGAGAGACCAGAGAGACCAGAGAGAGACCAGAGAGAGAGGCCAGAGAGACCAGAGAGAGAGACCAGAGAGAGAAACCAGAGAGACCAGAGAGAGACCAGAGAGACCAGAGAGAGACCAGAGAGAGAGACCAGAGAGACCAGAGAGAGAGACCAGAGAGAGAGACCAGAGAGAGAGACCAGAGAGACCAGAAAGAGAAACCAGAGAGACCAGAGAGAGAGACCAGAGAGACCAGAGAGAGACCAGAGAGAGAGGCCAGAGAGACCAGAGAGAGACCAGAGAGAGAGACCAGAGAGAGACCAAGATGAG